TAAAGGATTAAGTAATCATGTGTTTCAGACTATTATTAGCAAATTGAGAATGGATAACATCTATTTATTAGCTTGATGGAGAATATTGAGAAGTGTACGTGTGTAAGTGAGTATGGTAAACTCTAATGTAATTTTTGTAATCTTTGTAATTAATTAGGTTTTCTTATATAATTGTTGAAGACTTGTATATGTAGAGTCTTGATACTCGATAAAATACAATTCATTCATCCACATTTCGAGTAACCAAAATGTGTCAACTTTTTTGGAAATTGTGTCTCAAGAAAATTTTTTGAACTTACACAGCCTTATTTCCTCAGAATTTTTCCATATTCATTCTGCTTTTCTTCGGTGAAATGAGAATGCTACTAACTAATGAGATTGTAGTCTATAGATGTTATGGTTGAGCTTTTTGCTGGCAGATAAAAACTCCTTTCTCCGCACTGTAATGCGTTTGTCCATTTTTTCTTTTTTGTTTGCATCTGTTGCTTTGACATTGTACATTAGTGTCTGATTAATTTGTATTTTTAGTTTACAAAATCCAGAATGTACGTAATAATGCAGAATGACATCCGGAATGGCATCCGCATCCTAAATCCTTGATCTTCGAATCTTATCCTTTCTTTTGCTTTTGTCACAGGACGTTTCAGGAAACTACATCTTCTCGTAGCTAAGTCGACAAAGATTTTTGCATTGGGATTTGAAAGCCAGTTTACAAATTCAAATGCCCTTTTGACAGGAAAAGCAGCATGAAGATCACTTGTACCAGTAGGTATGTACGATTGAAATTTTCTGGTTAGCCCTTTTCAGCAAGGAATTCTGAATCTCATCAGCACATACTTGTTCGTCCTCACAAACGTTCTTCTGATTTTTCTCCCTCCATTGCCATGACAAGAAGTCATGTATTTGACGATACAATTAATTTTTTTGTGAACTCAAACTTGTGTTGTATGCATGTTTGTATTTGTTGTGTTTGTAAGGCTTGTACTGGCAACGACGCAGAAAATGTTAGTTTAATTTATGTAGAAAATGAAGAGATTTCTTTAACTTATGCCATAAATATCACTGCAGATTTCTGTATGATTCAGGCTGACTCTTGGGAAAATTTGGGTGATTAGCAAACTTTAATTTTAGATTATTATTTTTTTCCAAATTGTTAAGTAAATTTCATATTAGTTTTTAACTTTTATATTAAAAAATGTCACTTGGGCATTTTTTTCTACCTTCAATTGAATGTTTTATTCTCTTAATTTTATTATTATTTTCTTCTTTTGCCTATAAATACTTATTCATGGTTTCTACAATATAGCTTTTTTTTTTTTGTTTTTTTACTTTAAACCCATGTATTTTATTTTTTTTATATATAAAAGTATCAATTTAATTTAAAAATATTCTCTCTTTTTTAAAGAAAAAAAATTCATTTTGTTGTTTCTTTAATTTATTTTGTCTATTTTACGACCGAAACAAAGAAGAATTCATTTCATATCATAATTTTGAATCAGACAAAAAATTTTAAGAATTAACATATCTATTTACTTTATCAATGATCGTCGGATATGATGTATCATAAGATATTTGACTTTTTTATTAATTTCTACGAGTTAAATCAAAAACAAATCTTGAATTAAGTATTCAACTCGATAGATAAATCGGAAAAGAAATCTTTATTGGTTCCACCTCTTATTTTTTAACGAAGAAAATGAATTTTTTTTCTTATCGACTAAAACGTTTCATTTTTTTATTTTCTTGTATTCTTCATATTAAGTTGTTAAACTCACGTTTTTAATTTTTTTAAAATGGGAAATTCAAATTTCCACTTTTTTTGGTCCAATTGAAAGTTGGAACACTTAGTTTTTTTTCTTTTTCTAAAAAAAAATTACTTGAATAAATTTTCTCGTATTTTGATCACACTAATATCTATATTTGTCTCTATTTCTTTTTTCCTTGTAAAATAATATTTTAAAAGCAAAATTATTAATTTTTAACAATAAAACCACATATTTCCTTTTTTTTTTTCTTTTTCATTAAACTCACCTTTTATTACATTTGATATTTCTTCATTTTGACAAAAATTAAGATAAGATGTTGGAGTCTTACTTACTACAAAAGTATATACACATATATATATATATACATACATAATCTCTTATACTAAACAAAAAATTCATTTTTAATTTTTAATATTAAAATTTTTTTTATTTGTCTTCACTTATTCATTCTCCCCCTTTTAACCATTTTTTTTTTTAAAAAGAAATTTTAATTCGCTATAATTATCATAACTAAAAAAATCTAATTATCATAAAATATTTCTTTTAACTTAAATATATCATTACTCCCTTTTTTACTATTATTTTTCTTGTTAGTTATAGCAGTTAATTAAGTTATTATTTTTAAATATTCTTTTGTTATAATGAAATTTACATTAAATTTCTTATTTAAATCAAGTAGCTTTACTATTATCACATTTTATTATCATAATAAACTTATAAAATAAACCCCAAAAAAAATTACATATTGAGGAGAAAAAAAAATGATTCCCATCTATGTATATATATATATATATAAATAAATAAATGCTTTTGTTTTGAGTATAGAGGAAAAAAATGGTATTATTATTTGGTTATCCCTAATATTTAAAAATAAAATAAAACTAGTTTCCTATTTAGGAGAAAAGAAAATTAAAAATAAAATTAATTCCCTGTTTGGCATTAAAGAAAATTAAAAATAAATTAGTTTCCTGTTTGGCTAAGAAAACCAAACGTCTCCCCCTTCCCTCTCTCTCTCTATATATACACACAAATATCCGTTGTATTTACTCCCATATTCTCTTTCAACTTCCTCATCTTCTTCTCCGAAAGAATCATCCGCCGGAGATTGTCACTGTCATTTCCCCCTTCTGATCCGCCACTGTCATCGCCTTGCTCTCCTGTTCAAGATTTACAGTAACTCTGCGAATATGCGCTCCAAAAGCTTCTTCAACGGCGGTTTCGTCTCTGTTGTTATCAGACGTTTAGGGCTCCGCTATTCGAAAAATCCTTACAAGCCTCTGGTGACGGCCGTGAGTCGCAGAAAGAAACGAGCTCGGAAAGGTCGTGTGCCGATTTACGTCGGTAAGGAATGTAAAAGATTTGAAGTTCCGGTGAAGTTTCTCTCAGTCCCTGCGTTCCAGAAACTCGTTAAGAAATTCGTTAATGACGATGATCGGCTTGATCCTAAGATTGACGGACCTCTGGTTCTCGAATGCGGAGCTGAATTCTTTGATTTGTTCTTGAAACTCGCGAAAGAAAATCTGATTTGAAGGCAATAGATTTGAAATTCTGGTGAAGCTTCCCTCGGTCCCTGTCTTCAAGAAACTCGTCACGAAATTCATTTAATGACGATGATCGGTTCTTGAAATTCAAACGTTATATGAATCTTTTCCTTCTTCTTCTTCTTTCTCTTTAATTTTTTTGTTAAAAGAGAATTTGATCAGTAGATGTAGCTTGATCTCTAGTTTGATCTGTTTCCTCTTTAATCTTTTTGTTAAAGAGTATTCGATTAGTAGATTTAGTTTGATCTGTGAAAAAATTTGTAAAGAAATTGTTTCAGATTCTTTATACAACAACAATTTCTTTTCATGTTCTTCAAAATTTGATCCATGGATAATGCTTCCTCTGCAAATTGAAATTCATGGATGATTGAATTTGTGAATTTGGTACTTGATTACTTTCTCTGTATCTGAACTTCAATTGGTACTGTTAAAAAGAGATTAATATGTTGATGATAATTAAGTATAGGGGTAAATATTGATATTTAATTATGACATGTACTACTCTTACTATTGTATATATAAGCTGTCATTCTATATATATATATATATATATATTAAAAAATTCAAATATTATCTTTATTTACTTACATGTTTTAAAATTATTATCACCTAACACCCTTTAAATATTTATATTTATCGGTTATATTAGTTTTGATACCAACAATATAATAATTAAAATTTTTATATTTTATTCAAAAATTATAAATTAAATATGTAAATGCAATGATCAAGTTGAATTACGTCTTAACGAATATATTACATAAAATGAATATTCTATAAAAATTATGTTATTCTAAGTACGATAATTACAACGAATTTTACGAAACTAAAAAACATATATTAACTTTATATGTAAAATTAATAATTATAGTAATAAAAACTTATTGTACAAGAAATTTAATGAGTTATTTCGTAAGTCTTATATCATTACCAATACAGATTAAGTGAATAAAATAAAAATAGTATTAAGATTCGAGATTAAGTAAATAATTATATTCAAATATCATTATAGTTCTCTCGTAATTAAATCTTTTAATATTTTAACAATATTCCATTCATTTTATTTATATATTTACACGTTTGTATATAATCATTGTGAATTACCGTCCAAATTTTTATTAGATACCTTATCTTCATATTTTCATTGAAATTAACATGGTTAGCTATTATTATTTTTCAATTACACACCTCTTTTATTACATAACTATTAAAATTAAAATATTACGCGTTAAACATATTATCATAACTTTTTGTTATTTTTCTCGGTGTTTATATTCTACTATTTTAAATATTACGTGATATATAAGTAAAATTGTTAAATAACACGTATGTTATTTTTAAGGTGGACCGAAATGTAAACGACAATACACTATAATACAATTACGAAAACCTTTTGAAAGAAAATGGAAATTTAATTTAAAATTAGTTTTATATTAATTATAAATTAGTAATTTGTGTAAATTTTTTTTTAATAAATTTATTATTTTGAAATTATAAATATGTGTAATATTAATTTAATTGTTTATTTTTAGAATTTTATTTTAGTTTATTTTGCTTTTAGTTTAATTTTTATTATAAAATTCTAGTAAATATTTAATTTAATTTTTTTTTTCATTTTACTTTCATTTCAGTAAATTTGGTTAATTTCATTTTCATCCCAAATGTAATGTTAATTTACACTGTAAGCAAGCTACCTCCCCTGTTAATTTCCCAAATCACAAAACCCTGAAGCTGCAAAACCCTAGATATTTGCTCAAAATTTCTCTTCTTTCTGCTTCATTCTGATGAATCAGTAATAATGTCAACCAAATCTCAAGCATCTTCATACTGTCGCTTACTCAGACAAACCCTAAGATCCCCTAGAAATTCATTAATTCCATCCTCTCAGAAAATTTACGGTTCCCCTTATTTGCCTTCCTCTGAAAACTCCCAATTGCCTGCACCATTTTCGCCAAAACCCTATTTCTCTAATCTTCTTCTTAATGATGCTCAGAGATATCGAACAAAAGCCGGGCACTCTTTTCCTCAACTCTCCCAGAAATCTCATTTTTCCACAGCGGCCGCCGGATTTACCGAGTCATCCCGAGTGGTCGAGGATCTTCTGGCGGAAGTTGAGCAAGAGAAACAGCGGGAGAGGGAAGCAAGGAAAAGAGCAGGTTTGGATACTAAAGACATTGATGCAGAAGATGAAGAGGATTACATGGGAGTTGGGCCGTTGATAGAGAAGCTTGAGAAGAAGTTTTTGAAGGATAAAGGGGACTTGAATGCCTATGAAGAGCCCACGGATTCTGAGAGTGATGAAGACGATGATAGGTTTTCCGCTGAGGCGGTTCAAAAGAGAGCTGAGGTGTTTGAGAAGAAATTTAGTCGGCACAAGGAATTGCTGGAAAACTTCGTGGAGGCTGGTATGTATATTTGACTCTGTGTTTTAAAGTTGTTTCTTTTGAATTATATTTACTGAAGGATGAATATTAAATTTGAATATTAGGATTATGTAGTGTGATCATGTGAGAAGATGTTTTAGTGTTTGATTTTTGTTCATATGAAATGACAATGCTCCAACAATTTTGTGGGTTCTTTTTCTTTCTTCATTGATATACCATTATTTTTAAATACCAAAGAAGATGGACTTAAATTTTTTTAGTGCTAAGTTAGCTTTAGGAGCCATATGAGTTGTTGCTTGCATTGGATTTTGATTTTGTTTTTTTCACATGTAAGTAAGTTTCTTTCGTTGACAGAATCTTGGGAAGTGCTTAAAGAAAACAAATTGTAAATTTTGTCATTTTATTCTATATGATTTTGTTCATCAGCAATTAGTCTTATCTCTAAATTCATTTATTTATTTGCTTTGGTAATAGCTGAACAAATATGTGGATAGAAATCATGACTTCATTGGTGACCCCTTGATGATATGAGCACACGTTTATTTTGACAGAGACACTTGACGATGCATTCAAATGGATGAACAAAATTGATAAATTTGAACAGAAACATTTCCAGCTTCGCCCTGAATACCGAGTCATTGGTGATTTGATGAACCGTTTGAAAGTAGCAGAAGGCAAAGATAAGTTCATTCTCGAACAAAAACTTAATAGGGCTATGAGGTTGGTGGAATGGAAGGAAGCTTATGATCCAAATAATCCTGCTAACTATGGAGTCATTCAGCATGAGCAAGAGGATCCAGATGGAGAACTCCCAGAACATCCTGGACTCGATAAAGAGGACCAACTAATACAAGGTGAGGTTGGTGATGATGATGAAGAGGAGTATGATGACATGAAAGAGAAGGATGATATACTGTTAGCGAAGCTCAATGAGATAGACAAGAAACTTGAAGAGAAGCTTGCTAAGTTGGATCACACCTTTGGGAAGAAGGGCAAACTTCTAGAGGAGGAGATCAGAGATCTTGCAGAGGAAAGAAATGCTTTGACGGAGCAGAAAAGAAAACCTCTTTACAGGAAAGTAAGTCCATGTAACGTTCCAACTTGATTATTATATATTACTCGCTTGCAAGTAGTAATCTAACATTGAGAAGTCTGCCTTTTTATTGTGGTGATTCTTTTCTTCTTAATGGTGTAATTTGGTTTCCTGCAATATTAAGATGACGGACTGATAGTTGTATGATCTTTCCTCTATTTCATGTTATCTTGTCTTTCTTCCTTGCATGGATCCGTTTATTCAATTTGTTTCTAAACAGAGGACAAGAACATGTTGATGGAGAAAACAGTTTCTCATTTCCTTGTTTTCTGATTCACCTGATCTTGTCAGGATTCAATTTTTTGCTAGGTAATGAGGTGGCTAGCTAGTAATATCATGGATAATTGACTAGCGATTGTATGATTTTTTATACAAAAGATGATTCTAAAAGATGATATCCAAAAGCTATCATGTGGTTTTTGTGAATTTGCAGAGTATGACTGATAGGAAGATTTATCATGTCTGCCCAAATATTATAGCACAAGGCAAACATTTCACTTAGTGTAGAGACAATTGTCTTGTTATCTTAATAGCAGTTACAACTTCTTTATGAAAGGCATATATGTCTGCTCTATTAAGTGAAATATTTGCCTTGTGTGTTAGAAT